GCCATTGGCTAATATGTAGGACAAGTCTGAGTAATTTGTTTGACTGTGGTTTTAAGCATAGCCTCAGAAGCACTGGGGAGGTTTAAGTTGTTTAAGTACATATTTGCCAATTGTGGGTCATTAGTAAGAATCAATTATCTCAACTTCAGACTCTGACCCACACCAGACCGCCATATTATGCCTTCATACCCCTTCATAAACACCTTTTATAGCAAGAAGCAGCATGTTTAGTAGACAAACTCTGACCTACTCCAGAAGGAAGTCCTTGAGGGAATCCTCATTTTCACATCAGAGATTGTTACCAGGAAAATCTGAAGCATAGCGCTGAGCTTCAGGTGACCGCTGACAAGTCAATAGACTAACATCCTAGACTATGAGGCCTGAAAACAGTTGACTCTTTTTTCATACTTGTATCAAATATTTTTCTCTGTGTCACTCTAGTTTTAAAACATCTGATGTTTTCTGTTTTCACATCTAGATCCTGAACCCATAACAGGTAAAATGGAAATGATGAGAGTGTATACAATCTTATTTTTAGGAAATAATTGGGGTAAACATTAAGACATTTGTGCTATTTATATAATGAAAGGAATATCATATATATATATATATATATACATATGTAAATTATATTCTGTATGTAGTTGTTAAATGTAATAGATAATAGTGACAGAGATATAGTTTCATGTAATGTATTAAATTTTCAGAGACAAACACATTGCTGGTAAAATCTCTCAGATTTTATTAATATTATTAATTACTAATATTATTATTTACTAAAGACCATTGTTTTAACTGCCATGAGGTTCACAACTGAATTCATTGACTGAGTCCAATGCCCTGTAAACGTCTGTCCCAATGGTGAAACCACACTCTAGGATGTTGCAGGGCATGTCGATAACAGTAAACATACATCGCGGTATGTTGCACATACAATTTTTTCTTAACGAAATTTTGAATTTTATTACTCTTTTAAAATTGTATGTATTTCAGCATGTATTCATTCATTTATCTCAGTTCAATGTCTGGCAGGATGTACTCAGACATAAGTATGTGCAGGTGCGCACATCCGTGTGCCTGAGCAGCTGCTGCTGTGTGTCAGCCGAGGGCTGCTCCAGCGGCACTACATTCTGGGGACTTGGTGGGAGATATCCCTCCTTCTGAAAGCTTCAAGGGCTTTGGGTAGGAGGTCACCAGCATGACTGAAACGATGAATGCGGAAGCTCCATGAATGTGGAACCCACAAGAATCCCTTCAGAGTATTGCTTTATGACACAGCCACAAGATAACAGGATGAAATAAAATCGTATGAGATTGAGATTCTCTGTAAAGGAAACAAGGAATCAGCTAGGAGAATATGGGAGGAATCCTCAGTAGAATATCAATAAATATGTCAATAAAATATTTTGATTGATCAATATATTGATCTCAGTAATAACTTCTTCTGTCTGCCCATACTCATATCTCTCGTGAGAATAATAGATAGTGCTGATTGGGTAGCATAAAGTTAAAATGTATTATTTTCTTGATACTTGTATGCAATGAAAGTATTGCACATGAACACACATAAGTTCTGATAGAACAAATCTCTATTCTCATTACATACTGGATACAGATCAATCTGGTGGTGGAAATAGATCGAAGCACTACGGATATGCAAAATCAAGGACATAATATGAATCCACAGTGGGATCTTAGGAGTGCAAAATAGTTTCACTGCAAGGGAAAGACAAACTTTGTTAAGGGTTCTACCATTCACTAAAGTTTAAGAACCGTAACAACAACAACAACAAAACCAAATTAGTGGCCACCGAGTAGATTGAGACTCATAGCAACTCTATAGGACAGAAGAGAACTGGCCTGTGGATTTCGGAGTCACAGGCTATATAAAAGTCTAACTGGCACCCATGCTCTGGGACAAATCTGAAAAAAAGAAATGCCTACACATGTTTGTCATAAAAAATTGGTTACTGAATATATTTATTACACCTGAAAGCAAATTATATGAAGTGAAAGAAATTCAGAAATTTTCCTAAAATTTGGAGAAAAAGCATAAGAAAATAATTATGTACACATGCAAAAGACAAGAGATGTGCAGAATTAATTCTAATATCTAATAGTGAAAAATAGGAATTTGAAACAGAATGTAGCAAGTAGTGGAAAAAAGAAATGGGGAGCCTATCAAGAAAGAATTTTCAGAGGCAAATGCTAAAACAGGAATTTGATCTTCTTATATTTTTCTATTTATAATAGACATTAATAATTTAGGGATAACCAATTGCCTTTTATGGACCCTGACTCTTACAAAGTGTAACTGTACTCTGTAGGGCTTTCAATTGTTGATGTTTCAGAAGGAAATTGGGAGGCCTTTCTTATCAAGCCCTTCTGGGCCACAAGTAGGCATATGATTGAATGGTTTTCCCACACAAGAACCCTAATTAAGAATATGAATATCTAAATTATCCTTTGAGTTTGTTTCTGTCTTTTTTGAAGGGGGGATAAAAGCCTACATTATCTAGGTACAAATGAGAAAAATAAAACCCAAAGAAACAAAGCTCTGGATATTTTTTATTCAGATAAAAAAGGAGACAAAGGTGTGAGACACCTCTTTGCCATAGTAATTCGGGCCCTGAGTAACTTACTTCTGGCCCTGAGACACTTACTTATGCCTTACCTTTGGGAACTATAAAATCATGGTAACTGTACAACATCATAGACTTGTTCTGAGGATGACATGAGCTGATGTCCCTAGGGCTCAGCATAGTGATTGCCTGATGGCAAAGCAGGCAAAAAATGGAACTGGGTAAACTTACTGGGTAAGCCTTGGATTGTTATTGGAAAGGTTGGTGCTTGAAAGTTCCCAGCAGTCCCGAGGGAGAATGAGGAGAAAATCTGCTCTGATCTCTAGTCCTGGTTTAGTTGTCAAGACTTCTTTCTCTGTTTGTCATGAGTCAGGTTTATCTCTGAGGTACATTGTCATTGTAGGTAGTTCTCTTGAATGGTGGTTATATGTTTTGTCAGGTTTTTGCGGGATTGGTAAACCTATAGAGAGGATGTATAGAATAAGGGTTCCTGGGGATGGGAGAGGGGGGATAATGATCTTAAAAATCCTATAGGATCAAGTGAGTCAGAATTAACTAGATGGCAGTGGGTTTAGGCTTCATGGTCAGTTATTATTAAAATACCAATGATAAATTATTATACAACATTTTGATATGAGAATTTCATGAACAGCACCAGGGATTGCATAGTAAATATCTACTTCTTTTCAGAGACACTATGAATTGCACTGGCATTCATTGATGCTCACCTTCCTGACACAATCGCTGAAGACAAAGCAGGTGAATAAATAAATGTGGTGAAGAAAGCTGATGGTGCCCAGTTATCAAAGGATATAGTGTCTTGGGTCTAAAAGGCTTGAAGGTATACAAGCTGCCATCTAGCTCAGAAGCAACAAAGCCCGCATGGAAGAAGCACACCAGCCTGCGTGATCACGAGGTGCTGAAGGGATCAGTTATCAGGCATGGAAGAACAAAAAATCGTATCATTGTGTGACAAATAAAATTTAAATGCTTTGTTTCCTAACACGTTTTAAAACAATGATAAAATGTTGATTAAAGGGGAATGTTTCTCTAGGATTATTCTGTATTTTTAAATCTGATCACTGATACTCGAACCAACAATACAATTGTTGACCTAAATTTTATAGACAGTTGATGTGTTATAAATTGGAGTGGAGTATAATTAAGGAAGATCTGAGAGAAAAGTAGAGAATTATGTATGGTTGAGAACACAGAATTCTTTATCATCAAGTGGAACTCTATTGTGTCAGTTGATAAAAACTTATTTATAAAATAAGATCTAGTTATAGGTCATTGTGTGGAGTATTTGCAGTATAGATAGCCTTATATTGTTGACTGACATATCTGCATTAGAGTCCATCACCTGGGAAAGAAAGCCTTTTAATGTCTCTAAGGTGTTACCTTGTGATCTAGGAAAGCACTGATTATACTAGTCATAAAATTAGTCAACAGCATGAACATATTTTATATGTTCATAGAAGGCATATAAAAGCCCCCCCCCCCTACATAGAAGGCATATACAAGCTGTCTTCACTGAGCATTGTTCAGACAGAATCCCACACATCTACCCAAAGACAATCTCAACAACCAACACCATGTGTGGCAGCTACTACGGAAACTACTGTGGAAGCCGTGGTTATGGATGGTGTGGCTATGGAGGCCTAGGCTATGGCTTTGGAGGTCTTGGCTATGGAGCTCTTGGTTATGGCTATGGCTTTGGCTTCCATGGATTGGGCTGTGGCTCTGGCTATGGTTCACGCTATCTCGGTGGCTGTGGCTCTGGCTGTGGTTATGGCTATGAATCTGGCTCTGGCTCTGGCTTTGGCTCTTACTATTGAAGATATCATAAGGGATTCTGCTCATCCATTATGAATGCCATATCCTATATGCCTCTTCTGTGCATCATGGCCTTTCAGCTTTATGAAAATGTATTATGGCCACTTGTTGACCTATAATCTAACCTACAGATTCCTTCAGTTTGCCTCATGGGAAGTTGGTGAATCTGAAATGCATCTGAGAGGTCCCAGTTGTTCTTTCATAAGGCTGATGGTGTCACCGGAAATGCCTGGATGACTACCGTGCTGAACCTTGTCTCTCTGTTAATCTAAATATTATAAAAAAATTTTATCTAGAAAATAACCTTGGCTTTTATTTCAACCATTTATTGTCCAGAGCCTCTTAATGACAGGTGTTCATTTTGTTTTGCAAAAAAAGAAATTATTTAATTTCTTTAGGAGGTACTACCCTTACTATTTCCAGATCAGCTTCTGTACCAATCACAAGAACAATTGTCTTAGGGAAGTTATTTCCTTTTTACAAACCTGTTTTCTTCTCTCCTATGAGGGAATAATATCTTATATAATGTGTGACCATCTATCAGTTTGTCATACTGTGTGGCTTTTGTCTTGCTGTGATACTGGAAGTTAGTCCCAGGTGTTTAAAATATCACCTGGGTTACTCATTGCTGATAGATTTCAGCAAAGCTTCAAGGCTAAACTAGACTAAGATGGAAAGCCTGCTCATCTAATTTCAAAAATTACTGAGCAAAAGTTCTATGGGTAACACCAGAATATTGTTCGATATAGTGATGGATGAGGAATCTTCTAGGTGGTAAGACATTATATATATACAGTGACTTGAATAATGTACTGGAGTGTATCACCCACTTGATAGAACAGGACTGGGCAACATCTCATTCTCTTGTATCTTGGGTCATCATAAGTCAGAACTGACTTGATGACAACTAGCAAAAACAAGATAGTTGGTAATCCTCACTCATAAAGACAATTTTATTTTAAAATGACAAATAATATCATAACATATGATAAACAGCAGAGAAACATATTTTTTCAATCTTTCAAGCTTTCTTGTCTCTTAAAAATGTACTCTGTAAAAATGTCTTTGTCTTTTTGTAAACTTTGTGTGTGTGTGTGCATGTATTGATTTAGCAAGTTTAGAAACAGCTATATAATTTATTGCTCTGTAAACAATCTGTAGATTGTAAAATGGGTTGTTGTTATTGGGAAGCATCCTGTTAGTTGCCGTTTGACCCTCAGTAGAATAGACTAAAACGCTTCCTGTCCTGAACCACCTTCAACACCGTTCCTCTGTTTGAAGCTCATTGCTGCAGTCACTGTGTCAATCCATATCCTTGAGGGCCTTCCTTTGTTTCATTCTCCCTCCATTTTACCAAGCATGACATCTTTCTGCAGGGATGGGTCTCTTCTAAAAACATATCCCAAGTATGTGAGATGAAGTCCCATCATCATTTCCAATAAAGAACATTCTAGCTGTACTTTGTACAAAAAGTTGTTTGGTATTTGCTGTTGCATGGTACTTTCAACATCCTTCGTCAGCACCATAATTCAAATGCATCCATTCTACTTTGTCTACTTATTTAATGTGTAATTTTCACATGCATGTGAAGTTATTAAAATACCATTGCTTGGGTCAGGTTCATTTTTTCCCCTTAACCACTGCTTTTTGTTTAAATCATTTTATTGTGAGCTCGCACAATTCTTATCACAATCCATACATATATTCATTGTGTCAAGCACATTTGTACATTTGTTGCCAGCATCATTCTCAAAACATTTGCTTTCTACTAGAGCCTTTAATATCAGCTTATCATTTTCCCCCCTTCCCCTCCTTCATGAACACTTCATAATTCATATATTATCATTTTGTCATCTCTTACACTGTCTGACGTCTCCCTTCACCCACTTTTCTGTTGTCCATCCCCCATGGAGGAGGCTATATGTAGATCCTTGTAATCGGTTCTCCCTTTCTACCCCATCTTCCCTCCACCCTCCAGGTATCACCACTCTCACCACTGGTCCTGAAGGGGTCATCTGTCCTGGATTCCCTGTATTTCCAGTCCCTATCTATATCAATGTACATCCTCTCGTCTAGCCAGATTTGTAAGGTAGAATTGGGATCATGATAGTGGGGGGAGGAAGCATTTAGGAACTAGAGGAAAGTTGTGTGTTTCATCATTGCTACACTGCACCCTGACTGGCTCGTCTCTTCCCCGCAACCCTTCAGTAAGGAGGTGCCCAGTTGCCTACAGATGGCCTTTGGGTCTCCACTGTGCACTCACCCACATTTACAATGATATGATTTTTTTGTTCTAATGATGCCTGATACCTGATCCCTTTGACGCCTTGTGGTCACACAGGCTGGTGTGCTTCTTCTATGTGGGCTTTGTTGCTTCTGAGCTAGAGGGCCACTTGTTTATCTTCAAGACTTTAAAGCCCCAGACGTTATACCTTTTGATAGCCGGCACCATCAGCTGTCTTCACCACATTTACTGATGCACACATTTATCTTCAGTGATCATATTGGGAAGGTGGGCACCCACCGATATGATTATTTGTTCTTTAATGTCTGATACCTGATCCTTTCTACACTCATGGTCACAGAGGCTGGTGTGCTTCTTCCATGTGGGCTTTATTGCTTCTGAGCTAGATGGTCACTTGTTTTTCTTCAAGCCTTTAAGACCCCAGATGCTATATCTTTTGATAGCAAGGCACCATCAGCTTTCTTCACCACATTTGCTTATTCATCCACTTTATCTTAAGCGATCATGTTGGAAAGGTGAGCATCATGGAAAGGCAGTTTAATAGAACAAAGTGTTCTTGCATGGAGGGAGTACTTGAGTGGAGGTCCAATGTCCATCTGCTACCTTAATACTAAACTTATAAATATATGCCCATAGATTTATTTCACCATCTTCATATATAAATATATTTTACATATGTGCATGCCTGTATTTAGACCTTTTTGCCTCCTAGTTCTTTACTCTATTCCCTTTTACTGTCGTCTTGTCCCACTATCATTCTCAGCCTTCATTTGGGTTTCAGTAATTCCTCTTGGTTACATTGCCCATCATCAAGCCCTATCAGGCCTCTTACCCGCTCCTGACCACTGTTTTTTTGATCACTTGTTATTCCCTTGTCCCTGAGTTTGTTAAAACCACTTTCTATCCCACACCTACCCATCTCCCATGTCCCCCAAGAACTATCAGTCCCATTTGTTTTCTCCTCCTGATTGTTTACCCCACCTATCTTATCTAGATAGGCTTGCAGAGATAATATGAACAAAAACAATACAGAGTAAAACAGAGCAACAAAAGAAAACAAAACACCATAGCTAACCACACACACACAAAAAAATCCAAAGCTAAAAAAAAACCAAACAACAAAAGAGAAAGAAAAGCCTGTAAATAGTTCAAGGTCTTTTTGATTACCTTTAGGAGTGTTTTCCCATTAAGTCTGATGGGTGCCATGCCTGGCCCCAAAGTCTATTTTTGCTATTCCCTCAGGCCTTACTTGTTCTGCTCCCTTTGCTGTTCTGTTGCATGTCCTTAGTGTCTTGCCTTGGTGTGGTGGGCTCAGATCTGGTGCAACTCCCACACTCTTATCTCCAGTGTGGTCCCCTGTAGGGTTTTGGGTCAGTGAGGGATATCATGTCTCCTAGTCGTGCCGGCTTGTTCTTTGTAAGTCTCTCATTTTGTATTCTTCCCTGCAAACTCTAGAGGACTCAGTTGTTTTTCTGGTTTGGATATCTGTCACCTCAAATCAGAGTGGCATGCTCTTCTGGCGGTCTCTTATTGACGCTTGGTGAGTGCGGGTCTTCTGCCCAGACTGTGTCGGCAAGGATCTTTTGTAGGGCTGGGTTTCTTCTAACGTATTCTTTGAGTTTTCCTTTTCTGGGATGCTCTTCTTGGGTTCCTCCTGATTTTTCTGCAGTCCAATAAACGTTTCAAATAGAAGATCTGAACAATAGTAGATCTTCATAACAATAGTCATCTAATAATTATTTTCCAAATATTTTATTGTTTTGTAATATTTAAGTATATTTGAAGTCCTGGTAGTATAGTGGATACAGGTTGGACTGCTGTAATCACCAGTTACTCTACCGGAGAAAGATGAGGTTTTCTACTCCCTTAAAGATTTATAGTTTCAGAAAGCCACAAAGGGGGTTCTGTCCTACAGGGTCTCACTATGAGTTCAAATTGACTTGATGGCAGTGAGTGCTTTTGGAAACATAGTTTGATGTCTGTCCCAAAGCTTATTTCTTTTTCTCCAAAAAGTAGTAATTCCCCTAAACATCGTTGTATTTGAACTCTTTGTATCTAGTTTTCAGTAGAGCCTTGCTAACTCTATGTGGCAATTTATAGTAAAATTTGAATTAAATTAAACGAAATTAAAATAAAATTCATCCAATATATTTCAAATGTCTAATAACTACATGTTGATAGGCTTTTATATTTCATAGCAATTATACAGGTCTTAATGCCACAAAATATCCTTCTGAGAAATACGGAAGTCTCATGGTGTAGTGGGTTACGTGTTAGGCTGCAATCTGCATGGTTGTCAGTCCCAAACACTATCAGCTCTGCAGTAGAAAGATTAGGCTTTGTATTTCTGCAAAAGTTACAGTCATAGAAACCCAGACGGGGTCACTCCGAGTCAAAATTGACTCGATGGCTGTAAGATTTTGGATCCTTAGTTTTATATCCATATTTAACTGATGGGAGTTAGTACTGTATAATTTTTAATGATTGTTTTTCAACTAGATGTATAATTTATATACACATATATACTATATGGAATATATTTTTCTAATACACTTCATAATAAAATTATAAATAATCAAGGAAATATTTAATTACATAAAAATCATTTACACAAATGTGCTACCCAACATTTGTATGTGGACTGCAAAAATAAAGCACCAACATTGTAACAAGACTGAAATGTAGCTGTAAAACAAACCACAAAGTGATTCGTGGTCATTTTACTTCTAAACAGTGATAACAAAATTTTCACACATT